ATACAAAAAAGGTTGCTCCAGCTTCGCTTTTTGCACCTACAAATACCTCGCAACGCTTCGCTTATGCGAGCTACTTGTAGTTGCAGCGAAGCGGAGCAACCTAACCAATGCTTCGCAACGGCAAACAATAAATACGCACACACACGAAGCGCGCGCGCGCGATATTATTATGTTTCGCATATTGCGAAACATTGGAAACATTTTCAAAGACAAGAAGACCTAATTTGAAAATTTAGTAACGAGCGCCTATCTACGTAGAACCAACTTGAACCAGAGTGTTTTTCCCATTTCCTTATAAACCATTCGGCACTAACGATGAAAGGCGAATATCGTTTAGGAACAAAGGTGTAGCGCATGGGCATACTGATAGGGCGCAGCAAATGGAAGGACTTAGCGGAGAATATGGCACGCCAAAATGCATTTATCTAAGTTGACTAGGATACCAAAGCGGGAATAAAAGAAAAGCCCCGTGAAGGGGCTTTTATTATATGTATAGCTTACGAACAACAAGTACTATTCTCTCCAAGAACTCGCCATCTTGTACCTCTCGGTTGATAACGTTGTGCAAACTTACTTTATTGCCTTGACGACATCTGTAGCAGTTCTCGGAATCTCAAAGAGCATATGGCGGAGGAATGCCGACCATTCGCCATCATTGGCTGTAAGTTCGGGGCTTTCCAGGTATTCTTTCAAAACAGATTGCTGCTGGGCTATAACCTTCTGAATAGATTCGTTGCGCTGCTGATAAGAAAGTTCCGTATCAGCTGCTAACTTGCCTTTCATGACCTCAAGGTTCAAGATTTCAGCATTCATCTTTTGGTACTGAACAAGGGGCATTTTAGCCAAGGCATCTATAAATTTTTGACTCTTGACTTGACGGGAAAGAACAGCCTTGTCTAGACGATTGGCTATAACTTGCCTATCCGCAGCAGTAGTATTAACCAACATTTTTTGTAACTCTGTCAAACCTCGTATGTGACCAATAGTGAATTCACCCTTGTTAGACGAATCGTCCAGGGGCTTCAAGTTCAGCAGCATAAATCGCACGTATATCCGGATCCTTAGACTCATTATAAAGACGTTCAATCGTTGCACGATAAGACTTTGTAACCTGGATGTCTTCGTCAGTCATACGACCGGATTCACGCTCAGTAATATCCGCTTCAGCTGCTGCCTTACGTGTCATTTCTTCAGTCAATTCGGTTTGTGCCTTAGTCTGTCCAATTTGTGCCATTGCAGACATGCCACCAAGCATTTCAAGGGTAGTGCTTTGTTTATTTTGCAAAGGAGCAGAACCGGGCTGAGCGGGGCTGAAATCGCCATTAACGGCAAGCGCAGGGGAAAGACCAGCCATTTCATAACCTTCTACAACATTCTCGGCTGCATGGCGTTGATTCTTCTGTGCAAGATCATTCAAAAACAACTGATTAGAACGCCAAGCCTTTTGCTCACGCTCAAACTGATTCTTATTGAGAAAGTAGTTAACACCAGCCTGGACGCCAGCGGAAGCAAGACCCATTCCAGGGCTAAAAGAAGTTGCGGGCATGGCAAAGGAAGCACGGAAGGGCTTTGACCAAAAGGGGATTCATCAAACTTTGACATATCAATTCCTCAAAAAAGAGGGGGGAAAATTCCCCCCTCTAGGTTGGTTCGTTAGGGTGTTAAGCCTTCGCAACAGACAAATCTGTTTTACCTTCATCGTCCGTTTCGAAGGAGTCTTCAATAGCCTTCATGTGGGCATTATAGTCCATGACATAGCGGTTATGAATAATAAACTCATCATAAAGATTTTCTGTCATTTCGGAATTACTGAACCACAGACCTTCTTCATAACGTCCAAATTCAGTGTTACGACCTTTCTGCGCAAAGATACGCTTAAAGTTATTCATCCACTGATAACGTGCCAAATAACGCCAAGTTTCGCCAGCGGTGGGCATATTATTAGGCGTGAGCTGGGGCGTTGTAATGTACTGAGTCATAAGAGGGACTTTATCGTTAACATCAATAGAACGCTCACCCATCATCATGAACTTATCAAGCATGAAGGGGCAAGAAGTTGTCACGAACGCCACGCAGAGAGAAGTCGCCATTAGCGATATTCTGCACTACCTTCAATCCAGAATAACGGGGAATGAAACCGAAAGTCTGAGACAACGGGGAATCGCCAGCAATCGGCCAGTCATTAGCACCAACAATATCGCTTTTAGAACTTGTTTCCATACCAAGAGCGTCAAACTCAGCATTATAAAAATCCAACTTGCGAATGCAACGATTTTGACGGGCTACGCCTTGAACATAACCAGACGATGGCACAATAGAATACATGGAAACTACAAAGCCATGTTCATTGCTCGTATACTTAAATACACGACATTTCTTGTCCTTGATCTTACCAATACCCATACCAGCCTGTGCTCCAAGGTTCACACCTTCATCACCGGAAGTAGCGAGGGTGTCGGACTGAGAAACGTACATCAAAAATATCAATTGGGTCAAAAGTATGACCAATGAAATTAGAACGGCAATGATCTACAAAATCTCCAAGACCTTGCGCACGAAGCAACTGCTCAATACGCTTACCAGCAATAGTATTACGGTTATCCAGCGATAAATACGCTTAAGATATTCACTTGCTAAATTGCCGTGCCAAACTTGATCTATGTGGGAATGCTGACCGTCTGCACCATCAACAACACCAGCGTCATAAATGGGAAACCCTTCTTCAGAAGTATCAATAAAACGAGCAGCCATACCAGCGGGAGCGGAATTAGTCAAGTCCGAAATATGAGCGGACACAAAGTCCTGGTCTTCCGTGTACCAGCAAGAACCGAGATCATGAACGAACTTCCAAATTGGTAGCCGTAAGCGGGTTACTTGCGGATGTCTCAAACATGACATTAGTCAAATCTGCCGGCAAAACGCCTGCATCAAAAGACTTCATTATTTTCGCAAGATTCGTTACATAATAATTGGAATTGAACTGAATACCAAAGCGGTCATAATACGCTTTCCAATACGCAAACAAAGGCAGCAAAGACACCTTTTCGGTTAGAACTGAAATCAATGGGCTGACCGCAACCAATCAAGATTTTTCGGTTGCGCTTACCGAAGGAAGAAAGGCGAACACCTAAAGCAAGGTGGTATTTTTCCAACAGTGCCCAAATCAATAATAAAGTTGCACCATGCAAACGAACGGGCGCACCAAACTTTATACCATTGTACTTGTCTTCGCTCTCATCAAAGAAAGAAGCCCAGCTGGGATTCTGTACAGGAATTGAACGGGAATTAAACGACGTGATATTGAAATAACCCTTAACGAGGGAAGAGAAACGAAGGGTCGGACCTTCAAAATCAAAAGTTGTAGTTTCTCTATCACGATAGTCTGCATACTGGTTGAAAGCATCCCAAATAGCTCTCGCTTCATCATTGACAACAACTCCATCACTCTTAAAGGCACGATGGAAAATATAAGTAATCGTGTTTTCCACAGAAGATTCCTGGACTTCATAAATGGAGAACTTCGCACCAGGGAAAAAGGAGCGCAGCAGCCAAAAGACCACGGGGCAAGTGAGGAAACGGCTTCTACCTGGAATTCGCCAGCCTGGGTTGTACTTTCGGGAGTCTGTGCGAACATACTCGCCAGGGACATGCGACAAATCGCTGAACGGACAAACTGATGTGTAACATCATAGCCTAGACGAGCGAAAGAAGGACAAACAAGCGGAGCCATGCGAATAAAATGGGTATTGCCAGTACGCCAATTAGATTCGGGATTTACCATCGTAACGGCGAGCGGGTTAACGTCGCCATAGTGCCAGTGGTTGTTAATATCACGACCGAAGTTGAACGGGTTTGTACCGCCTCGGGCGGTCTTCATGGAAACTTTCCAAGTACAGCAGTTTTCATTTACTTATTCTCCTCTTTGTTTTCGGGTTTTTCCTCAACATTGGGAACGGGGATTGCATTCTTTTTGAAAAGCACAGACGAAACCTCTTCAAGGTTAACGCCAGCCTTTACCATGTTTTCAAGATTGAAACATTTCCCCATCCGGCAAATCCTGGTTAGCGTCCACACGGACACGTTCCAAAATTCCGGAAGGGGAACGAGTAACCTTGTCCTACCTTCGGCAATAACGAAGGAAGGGCAAGGGATTGACTGACCATTAGAAAAACTCATGATCTAATCTCCTGTTTGTAACCGATGTTTGTAATTATTGATTTCGTAAAAGTCCGAATTATCACGGGGCGCAGGTCCCGGAAAGGCAACTAAAGAGCATTCCAAAGAAATCCTGGATATAATTCCAGTAAGAATATGGGATTTGTTCGTAATCGTCCGGGGAAAACACCTTGATAATAACGAGATAACCATTGCAACGAACGAGGGGCGTTAAATGAACGCTTAAAGTCTACACCATAATATGACAAATAATCCTCGGCTAAATCACGGGCGGAAAGACCAGAAACGAGCAACACCAGCAAGAATAGAACGAGAACACAATAGACCTATAGTCATCATCATAACCACGACTATGGAAATATCCAGCCTGGCAACAGTCTTGAACAAGCTGAGTATAGAACTTGGCTTTCTTATCATAAATTTCTTTATGATGTTGAACAAAAAAAGCATTCGCTTCTCGCCTAACTAATCGCTTTTTAGTGCTGATGTCAAACTGATAATTTATGTCAAATATTAACTTATTCTTAAGATATACGGGCAAGGGCAGCACCTTGTCAACACCGACAAAACTTTTTCCTTTAAGTAACAAGTTTACTTTTTCCCTCGTGGGGTCGCACTTTTAAGAAGGTTAAAGCCCAAGGAACGACTTTGAATATGAAACGGGCGACATTTTTTAAAGAGCTTTGATTTTTCATTTAGTTTCACTCCATCAATGGCAAGAATAAAAGTCATTGTCCTTACAACAGTACTTAGCTGCATAACTTCGCAGCGAAAAAACCAGTATCACGAACTTCAAAAGGCTTATGTTCACGACCTTTAGAATCTACTCCCCCCTCAAGCATATAGGGAATTATCCAGCCAAATTTCCAGTACTTCTTTATCAACTTATGTACGACCGCAGACGTGCAAAGCTCTTTCGTGTACACAACACCATCATTCTTGTCTACAACTTCAACTATAGGATTCCAGGAAATGATCATATGATAATGTGGACGATGGGTAACGCCTCCATATTCACCACATACCATATACTTAACGGCTTTAGTGCGGAACATTTTCCACAACTTTCCGTCTAATATTAACGATGAAATCCGAGACATCTTGACGTGAAAAACAAGGGATTCTGCGGTATTCTTCCGAAATATCAAAAAGACATTCCGGAATATGGGGTAAACAACACTGTCTGTATGTCAACGTTTGCAAAACCTATTTTCCAGCCTTTTTTTCGGCAGTCCTCCATTTCTGCCATTAGCCCGAAAAGCCCAAGAATTACGGGATGAAATACGACAGTCTTCACAATCGCCACAAGGGACAAATGCCTTTTTTGGGGCATTTGGAGAAACGGCTTTAACCTTTATTTGCTTATAACACACGTTTTGCACCTCGTCTCTCTACACCGAGAAAATAACGATAATGTACAGTATGTTCCCTACAAATATTACAAGGCTCCATAAATTTATAATGGTCTCGCTTCGCTTCGGGCAAAGCAAGGATCGTGCTTAAAGGCAACTCAATAACAGTACCGCAGCACAAACATTCTTCATAAGTGGGCATAACGAACTAACCTTTAGTCCGTTACTCTAACGGGCTACATAACCCGCATTATCGGCAACGAACTAAAAAGAATATAACATTTTTTCCTGGGGAATTGAACCCCAAGAACGGAAAAAAAATTAAAAATTCGAGTGTCTAGGGGGACACTTGTGTCAGTATTAAGACAAGTCAGCCGACCGCTAGACCACACAACAGCGGTATTTACGCAAAGAAACCAACAAGAAAGACACCACTTTCTTGTAATGTAAAAAGATATTTACATTTAAATCAAAATTTAGTTTACAATAAAAAAACACATACAAAAAGGTTGCTCCAGCTTCGCTTTTTGCACCTACAAATACCTCGCAACGCTTCGCTTATGCGAGCTACTTGTAGTTGCAGCGAAGCGGAGCAACCTAACCAATGCTTCGCAACGGCAAACAATAAATACGCACACACACGAAGCGCGCGCGCGCGATATTATTATGTTTCGCATATTGCGAAACATTGGAAACATTTTCAAAGACAAGAAGACCTAATTTGAAAATTTAGTAACGAGCGCCTATCTACGTAGAACCAACTTGAACCAGAGGTGTTTTCCCATTCCTTATAAACCATTCGGCACTAACGATGAAAGGCGAATATCGTTTAGGAACAAAGGTGTAGCGCATGGGCATACTGATAGGGCGCAGCAAATGGAAGGACTTAGCGGAGAATATGGCACGCCAAAATGCATTTATCTAAGTTGACTAGGATACCAAAGCGGGAATAAAAGAAGAAGCCCCGTGAAGGGGGGCTTTTATTATATGTATAGCTTACGAACAACAAGTACTATTCTCTCCAAGAACTCGCCATCTTGTACCTCTCGGTTGATAACGTTGTGCAAACTTACTTTATTGCCTTGACGACATCTGTAGCAGTTCTCGGATCTCAAAGAGCATATGGCGGAGGAATGCCGACCATTCGCCATCATTGGCTGTAAGTTCGGGGCTTTCCAGGTATTCTTTCAAAACAGATTGCTGCTGGGCTATAACCTTCTGAATAGATTCGTTGCGCTGCTGATAAGAAAGTTCCGTATCAGCTGCTAACTTGCCTTTCATGACCTCAAGGTTCAAGATTTCAGCATTCATCTTTTGGTACTGAACAAGGGGCATTTTAGCCAAGGCATCTATAAATTTTTGACTCTTGACTTGACGGGAAAGAACAGCCTTGTCTAGACGATTGGCTATAACTTGCCTATCCGCAGCAGTAGTATTAACCAACATTTTTGTAACTCTGTCAAACCTCGTATGTGACCAATAGTGAATTCACCCTTGTTAGACGAATCGTCCCAGGGCTTCAAGTTCAGCAGCATAAATCGCACGTATATCCGGATCCTTAGACTCATTATAAAGACGTTCAATCGTTGCACGATAAGACTTTGTAACCTGGATGTCTTCGTCAGTCATACGACCGGATTCACGCTCAGTAATATCCGCTTCAGCTGCTGCCTTACGTGTCATTTCTTCAGTCAATTCGGTTTTGTGCCTTAGTCTGTCCAATTTGTGCCATTGCAGACATGCCACCAAGCATTTCAAGGGTAGTGCTTTGTTTATTTTGCAAAGGAGCAGAACCGGGGCTGAGCGGGGCTGAAATCGCCATTAACGGCAAGCGCAGGGGAAAGACCAGCCATTTCATAACCTTCTACAACATTCTCGGCTGCATGGCGTTGATTCTTCTGTGCAAGATCATTCAAAAACAACTGATTAGAACGCCAAGCCTTTTGCTCACGCTCAAACTGATTCTTATTGAGAAAGTAGTTAACACCAGCCTGGACGCCAGCGGAAGCAAGACCCATTCCAGGGCTAAAAGAAGTTGCGGGCATGGCAAAGGAAGCACCGGAAGGGCTTTGACCAAAAGGGGATTCATCAAACTTTGACATATCAATTCCTCAAAAAAGAGGGGGGAAAATTCCCCCCTCTAGGTTGGTTCGTTAGGGTGTTAAGCCTTCGCAACAGACAAATCTGTTTTACCTTCATCGTCCGTTCGAAGGAGTCTTCAATAGCCTTCATGTGGGCATTATAGTCCATGCATAGCGGTTTATGAATAATAAACTCATCATAAAGATTTTCTGTCATTTCGGAATTACTGAACCACAGACCTTCTTCATAACGTCCAAATTCAGTGTTACGACCTTTCTGCGCAAAGATACGCTTAAAGTTATTCATCCACTGATAACGTGCCAAATAACGCCAAGTTTCGCCAGCGGTGGGCATATTATTAGGCGTGAGCTGGGGCGTTGTAATGTACTGAGTCATAAGAGGGACTTTATCGTTAACATCAATAGAACGCTCACCCATCATCATGAACTTATCAAGCATGAAGGGCAAGAAGTTGTCACGAACGCCACGCAGAGAGAAGTCGCCATTAGCGATATTCTGCACTACCTTCAATCCAGAATAACGGGGAATGAAACCGAAAGTCTGAGACAACGGGGAATCGCCCAGCAATCGGCCAGTCATTAGCACCAACAATATCGCTTTTAGAACTTGTTTCCATACCAAGAGCGTCAAACTCAGCATTATAAAAATCCAACTTGCGAATGCAACGATTTTGACGGGCTACGCCTTGAACATAACCAGACGATGGCACAATAGAATACATGGAAACTACAAAGCCATGTTCATTGCTCGTATACTTAAATACACGACATTTCTTGTCCTTGATCTTACCAATACCCATACCAGCCTGTGCTCCAAGGTTCACACCTTCATCACCGGAAGTAGCGAGGGTGTCGGACTGAGAAACGACATCAAAAATATCAATTGGGTCAAAAGTATGACCAATGAAATTAGAACGGCAATGATCTACAAAATCTCCAAGACCTTGCGCACGAAGCAACTGCTCAATACGCTTACCAGCAATAGTATTACGGTTAATCCAGCGATAAATACGCTTAAGATATTCACTTGCTAAATTGCCGTGCCAAACTTGATCTATGTGGGAATGCTGACCGTCTGCACCATCAACAACACCAGCGTCATAAATGGGAAACCCTTCTTCAGAAGTATCAATAAAACGAGCAGCCATACCAGCGGGAGCGGAATTAGTCAAGTCCGAAATATGAGCGGACACAAAGTCCTGGTCTTCCGTGTACCAGCAAGAACCGAGATCATGAACGAACTTCCAAATGGTAGCCGTAAGCGGGTTACTTGCGGATGTCTCAAACATGACATTAGTCAAATCTGCCGGCAAAACGCCTGCATCAAAAGACTTCATTATTTTCGCAAGATTCGTTACATAATAATTGGAATTGAACTGAATACCAAAGCGGTCATAATACGCTTTCCAATACGCAAACAAAGGCAGCAAAGACACCTTTTCGGTAGAACTGAAATCAATGGGCTGACCGCAACCAATCAAGATTTTTCGGTTGCGCTTACCGAAGGAAGAAAGGCGAACACCTAAAGCAAGGTGGTATTTTCCAACAGTGCCCAAATCAATAATAAAGTTTGCACCATGCAAACGAACGGGCGCACCAAACTTTATACCATTGTACTTGTCTTCGCTCTCATCAAAGAAAGAAGCCCAGCTGGGATTCTGTACAGGAATTGAACGGGAATTAAACGACGTGATATTGAAATAACCCTTAACGAGGGAAGAGAAACGAAGGGTCGGACCTTCAAAATCAAAAGTTGTAGTTTCTCTATCACGATAGTCTGCATACTGGTTGAAAGCATCCCAAATAGCTCTCGCTTCATCATTGACAACAACTCCATCACTCTTAAAGGCACGATGGAAAATATAAGTAATCGTGTTTTCCACAGAAGATTCCTGGACTTCATAAATGGAGAACTTCGCACCAGGGAAAAGGAGCGCAGCAGCCAAAAGACCACGGGGCAAGTGAGGAACGGCTTCTACCTGGAATTCGCCAGCCTGGGTTGTACTTTCGGGAGTCTGTGCGAACATACTCGCCAGGACATGCGACAAATCGCTGAACGGGACAAACTGATGTGTAACATCATAGCCTAGACGAGCGAAAGAAGGACAAACAAGCGGAGCCATGCGAATAAAATGGGTATTGCCAGTACGCCAATTAGATTCGGGATTTACCATCGTAACGGCGAGCGGGTTAACGTCGCCAATAGTGCCAGTGGTGTTAATATCACGACCGAAGTTGAACGGGTTTGTACCGCCTCGGGCGGTCTTCATGGAAACTTTTCCAAGTACAGCAGTTTTCATTTACTTATTCTCCTCTTTGTTTTCGGGTTTTTCCTCAACATTGGGAACGGGGATTGCATTCTTTTTGAAAAGCACAGACGAAACCTCTTCAAGGTTAACGCCAGCCTTTACCATGTTTTCAAGATTGAACATTTCCCCATCCGGCAAATCCTGGTTAGCGTCCACACGGACACGTTCCAAAATTCCGGAAGGGGAACGAGTAACCTTGTCTACCTTCGGCATAACGAAGGAAGGGCAAGGGATTGACTGACCATTAGAAAAACTCATGATCTAATCTCCTGTTTGTAACCGATGTTTGTAATTATTGATTTCGTAAAAGTCCGAATTATCACGGGGCGCAGTCCCGGAAAGGCAACTAAAGAGCATTCCAAAGAAATCCTGGATATAATTCCAGTAAGAATATGGGATTTGTTCGTAATCGTCCGGGAAAACACCTTGATAATAACGAGATAACCATTGCAACGAACGAGGGGCGTTAAATGAACGCTTAAAGTCTACACCATAATATGACAAATAATCCTCGGCTAAATCACGGGCGGAAAGACCAGAACGAGCAACACCAGCAAGAATAGAACGAGAACACAATAGACTATAGTCATCATCATAACCACGACTATGGAAATATCCAGCCTGGCAACAGTCTTGAACAAGCTGAGTATAGAACTTGGCTTTCTTATCATAAATTTCTTTATGATGTTGAACAAAAAAAGCATTCGCTTCTCGCCTAACTAATCGCTTTTTAGTGCTGATGTCAAACTGATAATTTATGTCAAATATTAACTTATTCTTAAGATATACGGGCAAGGGCAGCACCTTGTCAACACCGACAAAACTTTTTCCTTTAAGTAACAAGTTTACTTTTTCCTCGTGGGTCGCACTTTTAAGAAGGTTAAAGCCCAAGGAACGACTTTGAATATGAAACGGGCGACATTTTTTAAAGAGCTTTGATTTTTCATTTAGTTTCACTCCATCAATGGCAGAATAAAAGTCAATGTCCTTACAACAGTACTTAGCTGCATACTTCGCAGCGAAAAAACCAGTATCACGAACTTCAAAAGGCTTATGTTCACGACCTTTAGAATCTACTCCCCCCTCAAGCATATAGGGAATTATCCAGCCAAATTTCCAGTACTTCTTTATCAACTTATGTACGACCGCAGACGTGCAAAGCTCTTTCGTGTACACAACACCATCATTCTTGTCTACAACTTCAACTATAGGATTCCAGGAAATGATCATATGATAATGTGGACGATGGGTAACGCCTCCATATTCACCACATACCATATACTTAACGGCTTTAGTGCGGAACATTTTCCACAACTTCCGTCTAATATTAACGATGAAATCCGAGACATCTTGACGTGAAAAACAAGGGATTCTGCGGTATTCTTCCGAATTATCAAAAAGACATTCCGGAATATGGGGTAAACAACACTGTCTGTATGTCAACGTTGCAAAACCTATTTTCCAGCCTTTTTTTCGGCAGTCCTCCATTTCTGCCATTAGCCGAAAAGCCCAAGAATTACGGGATGAAATACGACAGTCTTCACAATCGCCACAAGGGACAAATGCCTTTTTTGGGGCATTTGGAGAAACGGCTTTAACCTTTATTTGCTTATAACACACGTTTTGCACCTCGTCTCTCTACACCGAGAAAATAACGATAATGTACAGTATGTTCCCTACAAATATTACAAGGCTCCATAAATTTATAATGGTCTCGCTTCGCTTCGGGCAAAGCAAGGATCGTGCTTAAAGGCAACTCAATAACAGTACCGCAGCACAAACATTCTTCATAAGTGGGCATAACGAACTAACCTTTAGTCCGTTACTCTAACGGGCTACATAACCCGCATTATCGGCAACGAACTAAAAAGAATATAACATTTTTTCCTGGGGAATTGAACCCCAAGAACGGAAAAAAAATTAAAAATTCAGTGTCTAGGGGGACACTGTGTCAGTATTAAGACAAGTCAGCCGACCGCTAGACCACACAACAGCGGTATTTACGCAAAGAAACCAACAAGAAAGACACCACTTTCTTGTAATGTAAAAAGATATTTACATTTAAATCAAAATTTAGTTTACAATAAAAAACACATACAAAAAGGTTGCTCCAGCTTCGCTTTTTGCACCTACAAATACCTCGCAACGCTTCGCTTATGCGAGCTACTTGTAGTTGCAGCGAAGCGGAGCAACCTAACCAATGCTTCGCAACGGCAAACAATAAATACGCACACACACGAAGCGCGCGCGCGCGATATTATTATGTTTCGCATATTGCGAAACATTGGAAACATTTTCAAAGACAAGAAGACCTAATTTGAAAATTTAGTAACGAGCGCCTATCTACGTAGAACCAACTTGAACCAGAGTGTTTTCCCATTTCCTTATAAACCATTCGGCACTAACGATGAAAGGCGAATATCGTTTAGGAACAAAGGTGTAGCGCATGGGCATACTGATAGGGCGCAGCAAATGGAAGGACTTAGCGGAGAATATGGCACGCCAAAATGCATTTATCTAAGTTGACTAGGATACCAAAGCGGGAATAAAAGAAAAGCCCCGTGAAGGGGCTTTTATTATATGTATAGCTTACGAACAACAAGTACTATTCTCTCCAAGAACTCGCCATCTTGTACCTCTCGGTTGATAACGTTGTGCAAACTTACTTTATTGCCTTGACGACATCTGTAGCAGTTCTCGGAATCTCAAAGAGCATATGGCGGAGGAATGCCGACCATTCGCCATCATTGGCTGTAAGTTCGGGGCTTTCCAGGTATTCTTTCAAAACAGATTGCTGCTGGGCTATAACCTTCTGAATAGATTCGTTGCGCTGCTGATAAGAAAGTTCCGTATCAGCTGCTAACTTGCCTTTCATGACCTCAAGGTTCAAGATTTCAGCATTCATCTTTTGGTACTGAACAAGGGGCATTTTAGCCAAGGCATCTATAAATTTTTGACTCTTGACTTGACGGGAAAGAACAGCCTTGTCTAGACGATTGGCTATAACTTGCCTATCCGCAGCAGTAGTATTAACCAACATTTTTTGTAACTCTGTCAAACCTCGTATGTGACCAATAGTGAATTCACCCTTGTTAGACGAATCGTCCAGGGCTTCAAGTTCAGCAGCATA